CAACACTTGCTGTTACCTTCTATTATTATACCATGTAGTATTCTTAATAAAAAAATAATAATGAAAATTCGAATTCAAATATTTTAAAATTAATTTTCAGCAAAATGTTGACCATTTTGTGTGGGAGGTACCAGAAGGTGTGGACCGGTTTTCCAATCTTTGAACTTGATTTTAAATTTTGAAAGAAATATTACGATGTGCGTATTTTGTTTCTAATCGGACATTCTGTAGGATTATTATAGCAGTAACAAATTTTTAAAATGTTACCCCTTCAAATCTTCGAACTTTACTTAGTGTTGCCCAAAGTGTCTTAAACGGATTTGATTCAAAGAAACATGGCCTCGTAACAAAGTGTACATACCCTCATTAGCCATAAGACTGAGGATATTAACATTGACCTACCCTGAACAAGCAAGTACTTTTCTCTTACCAGGAATACGTAATAGGAAATTAAAGACAATCGCAGATAAATCGGTCAGAAAATGGGGCTAAGACCCTCAAAGTACCAAACACGAGGCCGTACCTTTATATGGGTGCTAAAATACAACCCGAAAAATATTGTTCAGCCTACGAGAACCTAGTAAATTACAGCCCTTTGGTAGGAAAATGCAGCAATAACATGCACAATACAGAAAATTGGGAGGAACATTTATATGGATGCGATGTCCAAACATGGACCTATATTGAATATATTCAATATGGGTTAATATGTTTTTTCACTCTCCAAGTGTTCGAAATAGCTACTTTGGTGGAAAATGGGACTAAACTCTTCAAAATATAAAAATGGGGCGAGATCTTAATGAGGGGGCTAAGTCAAAACTTCGACCTACATATCAATTTTGTCTTCGAAAATTCAACCCATACAACATATCATTCTGTAATATAGGTTCAGAATAAGATATAGCTGTCGAAATAGCTACTTTGGTGGAAAATGGGACTAAACTCTTCAAAATATAGAAAATGAATATTCAACCCATACAACATATCATTCTGTAATATAGGTTCAGAATAAGATATAACTGTCAAAAAATATTTTCATCGATTTACTGTAAATACTCTACCTACGTGTGTTCGATATATACCAAATGGCGTGTGTCAAATTTGCTTTATATGGCTTCAGATTTACATATAGCTCTCATACCAAACTTTGTCCGATTAAAAATTAATTATACAGCAAAAGACATATTGTTGCTGGAATTTTTACATAGTTTGCTTTGTTTTTGTATATGTGTGGATTGATTGAAATCGGTTCATTTATAGTTATAGATCACATATGTAATTTCGTCATACATAAGTCTGTAAATGTTTTTCCAACGATGTCTGTCCGATTGACTGGATATTGTACACATACAATTAAATACATTACAGAGAAGCATTTCTTAGGCTTGGTTTCAATTGGTATAAATATAAATTTAGGTAACTATAAGCATCGTTGAAACATATCTTGTATATACCCAAAGTGGTGTAGGGTATTATATACTCGACCAAGTCCAACATTTCTCCTTTGCTTATGGGATTTTCTTCCGAATTGCCTTTCACTGGCAGTAAATTTTTAACAACTGGTTAAAATGACTATTTACAAACGAATCCTTCGAAATAGTTTTTCGTATAAAAAGTTAATATTTATGAAAATATGAATGGATTTCGAAATAGCTAGACTTCTTGACTTTCATATGACACACATTTCATTACAATACCACCAGTAGATCGAATATTATGCGACAAATACCAGAACATTGAATTTTTCACCTTCGCCATTTCAATCAACTACATCTGTAGATGACGTTGCTGTCGTCAAATTGTCAGTTCGCAAAGGAAAAAATAAGATAAAATGTAAATACAAAGGTCATGCATCTTTTTTGGTATGTTCAAGGTTTTAGCCGAATTCGGAAACCAAATTTCATGGACTATACCAAAACGTACCATAGTAAACTTAGTAAATCCCAGCATGCCTACATCAAAGGCAGATCAGTGGATACAGCACTGCATGAGGTGGTTGGATGCATCGAGAAGAATATGGAGTCCTCTGTCTACACGTTGGCAGCATTCCTCGAATAAAAGGAGTTCCGGGGACAATGCGCTCTCGATACGGTAGTCTCGGTAGGCGGTAGTCTATGCCGATGATGTAGTCTTGCTAGTTGGGGGTAAGTTTATGACGACAATATCAGACATCCTGGAGGGTGCCCTTGGGCTTGCACCAAAGGTCTTGGTGTAAACCCCACTAAAACCGAACTGGTGCTCTTCACTAGGAAGCACAAAAATCCTAGTTTCCGCCTGCCATCACTTGGAGGAGTGACTTTAACCCTTTCTGATGAAGCTAAATATCTTGGCACTATCCTAGACCGCAAGTTACTGTGGAATAGGAATGTTGAGGAACGCTCCAAGAAGGGATTGCTGGCACTCTATTCATGCAAGAATTCCATTGGCAAGAGTTGGGGATTGAGACCCGGAATTATACACTGGCTGAATACGACGATCGTCTTACCCATACTTACGTATGGTTGTCTTGTCTGGTGGCAAGGGGTGAACAAAAAGAAACTGCTGAAAAAACTGAGCTTAGTACAGCGATCGGCTTCAATTCTAATCACCGGAGCATTAAGAAATACACCACAGGCAGCCTTGAATGCAATCTTGAATCCCCAACCATTGGATATTCTGATCAAATTCCAGGCAGCCAGGTGTGCCCTGAGACTCCGGGAAACAGATGCCTTGAAATCGCTGAGCTATGGTCATGCCAGCATCCTAAACATAACGCCAGGTTATGACCTCTTTAGGGGGGATAATCATATCAGTGATTATATCCCCCCCCCCCCCTAGGGACTTTAATGACATCAAAGTTGAATTTCCTAGTAGGGAATCCTGGACTAGTGGCTCCCTACCTCTGCCAGGTCTGTCAATCTTCACAGACGGGTCCAAGATGGAGGAAGGCACTGGCGCAGACGTTTACTGTAGGGAATTAGGTATACAGAACTCATATAAACTCAACAATGACTGTAGCGTTTTTCAAGCAGTGGCGTTTTTCAAAAGCACTTAATGCCGACATTACAGGACCGGTGACTATTTATGTAGATAGTCAGGCGGCCCTGAAAGCGGTGAAGTCGCATACTATAAACTCGAACGCAGTTCATGATTGTAAGACCGCTCTGAATGATATACGACAGATAGTTGGGCTATGCTGGGTTCCAGGACATAACGACATTGAAGGGAATGAGATAGCCGACGAGCTTGCTCGAGGGGGGTCATAGTCGTCCAGTCTTCTGATTGAGAGATCTGTGAAACCCCCCATTAGCTATTTCATTGGCAGGATCCGTGCGTTCCATTGCGAGGTAGTCGGAAACAGTTGGCTAAGGGAACCTGCTTGCAGAATCTCTAAATCTATCTGGCCTGAATTCTCTCGTAAAAGAACGTCTTCGCTGCTGGAACACAGCAAGAGGGAGATCAAAATCGTTGTGGGGATTATAACTGGTCACTGCAAAGTTAGATCTCTCACTTCTAAGTGGAACTCCAGTGGAGAGGATTACTGTCGTCTCTGTGAGGACGAAGAAGAACTGGATACAATTGAGCACATCCTCTGCAAATGTCCATCGCTGATCAGCAGAAGACATAAACAGTTTGGATGTTATGAAATTAATAATCTAGTCTTCTTCTCCAAAATAGACCCTAACCAAATTCTAGGCTTTGTCAAAAAATTGACTTGGCTAAAATAATATCTCTTCCGCCCTCCTTTTTCTCACTATTTTTCTTTCTACTCTTCCACTATATTTTTTCTTTTCTTTATAGGTATACTTATACATAAAGGATGATCACAATGGACAATAGTCTCCGAGTGGAGGGTTGTTACTAACAACCGTACATGCCTAACCTAATCTAACAAAACGTAGACCTTTTCAATAATATGTGCAAAATTTCCAAGCTCTATTTAAAATATTGTGAGCTCTATCGTGTTTCCGTCAGGCATTTTATTCTAATCAAGAATATTTTATTGGAAAATCGGTGAATATTTCGAGATGTTGCAAACGAAATTACCAATTGAATATGTACTCCACCTTATGATGGATGGGAAAATTACAGCAAGTAGGCTGATAAGCACAATAATTGTGACGCCTAAAACTATGCATTGAAATGTAGTAAATATAGTATATATTTGGTCGTAACATCAAATTGGTTATAAACACCTAATAAATAGCTACAACGGAATAATTAAGTTCCGAAAAAAGTTCTGCCCTTTTATTTGATATCTCTTATAACGAATATAATTTATTGTCGACCAATTTCTAAGATATATTGTTTCAACTATAAAATTTGTTTTCATTAACTATGGTCATGAATGGTAAACATCCCCATCCCCAGCTAGACCGTCCAGAGGTAACCCATGTAGATCGTAGCGATGATTAAGTTAAGTTAATATCATATACAATAGACCCACAAAGGAAGTATGAACGTCTTCAATATTACATTTTTTTTAATCAAGCCCACCCGTCTCAATTGATACCCATATTAGAGAATATTAAAAAACGGGGGAAAATATAAACGTCCCAGCGGAATTTTGGGGGCCAAATTTTCTGAAGTACGATTTTTGCGCAAGAAAATCATGATTCTTAGGGTTAATTGTTGTAAAAAGTTCAAAACAATTCGCGACTGGGCCCTAATTCATTGAAAATATTATTTGAAGTGAAGACCCTAATATATCCTGGCAATTTTTTTTTTGCAAACTAGTAAAAAAGCTTACAGCTTGGTTTCACCCTTTAATTCTATACCACATTTTCTGATTATATTTCATAATTCATTAAAGTTACAACAATATTTAAAACTAATATTCATACAAACACAAAAGGTTCCCATTTTTTCATTAATTTGTTTTCTTTTTTATATTTAAAAAAATGACAAGTTCATCTTACTAATTTTCCTTAATAGCTAAATTTATCCTTACAAAAAAACTACATAGCCTAGTTATTGAACAATGTAGGCGACGGCGGCGGCAGTTGTACCACACAAACACATTAGTATTTTTTAATGGTTTTCCGTATCAATGCCAAACGTTGTTTGTGAGCTTCTGTAATAGCGGCACGTTTATAGGGTCGCAGTTCATCTGTACCAAAACCAGGAATCCACATATTCCATTTACGCTCCAAGTGCAATTGAACGTCGCGTACTTCCACTTTGTTAACTTTGCGATGTTTTGCAAAAGCACATGTGGCCTTGACAGCATCTTCAACAAAATCATCGGCAATTTGTAGCAGCAGCTCTTCGACATCTTCATCTAGCTGGGCAGTTGTATCGACTTCCCTGACCAATTCCATTAGACGTGGTTTTGTCAAGATCTAGAATTTAGAAAATGATTGAACCTCTTTACAATATTGTTAACATTTAAATGTATATTACCGGTTGATTTTCTGCTCCCGTAGATGCCTTGGCATTTGATGTTGTGGCATTACCTGCTGACCCCGTTGATGCATTACTGACTGTTTGCCCAATTACTCCGGCCGAATTGGAGTTTGAATTATTTGCCATGGGACTACTTTGAGATGGTGATGCCATAATGATGTCCTGAGAATCGTCACCACCGGCACCGTTACTATCAAAACTATTAAAAATATCCGACATTTTTGTAAAGATTTTTGATTATATTCTTGAAATACCCAAAACCGTTTCTTTCAAGTGATTCTTAAAAATGTGTACAAATATGTATGTGTATATACAGAATATAATATTACAAGAAACCAAATCAAGCAGGTGTAATTTCTATAGGAATTTAGACTAGGGGAAGGTAATAGTGTGACTTTATATTCATTTGCTGCCCGCTTTGTACAGATGGATGGATATATTTTTTTGGTGGTATGTTGTGGATATAGGTGTTTGGTTGGTTGGTGGTGATAGTACAAGTTCAGGTGATCATTAGTTTTTGTAAGGCATACAACATATAATGAACGAACTAAGGAAAAGGTGGGGAACCAGGTGAGAACAGAAGTTTTTGCGTGTTGTTTTTGTATGTAATAAAAAGCTGAAATATTATAGAGGAAAAAATTTTGAAAAAAATAAAAGAAAAATTACAAATTAAAAAAATCATGGCCAATAGGGTTTTCTTAGAACTACATAGCTTTATTTTATTACCACTAACTTTTGTACCAATTCTACGTTGTTTTCGTTTATAAATTCTTACAACTTTTGTTATACCTTTAATGGGAAAGGTTAAGGGATGGTTTTTGTTTACTTTTAATGAGTATTTTCCGTAATAATTAATAATTTCTGCACTGGTAATCAATAATCAATCCTATCCTGCAAATCACAAAAATAATAAACTATGCTTCTTCTTCTAATTGTTGGCAATCATTAGAGATTGATAGCACTGTTACCTACATGAATGACGGAATTAACACGCAAGCATCATTGCATGAAATTTTAGAGCATTCTGCGGTAAAATTTTACATTGTATTGGCTGTGTTGTATTCATCCTTTTTCTACATATTCGCTAGGGGGAAATTTGCAGTAAAAAAGTTCTCACTTCATGGTACAATTATACAAGGTAGGCTATCTAAGTAGGATATTTAAACAAATGGATTTTAAAATATATTTTTCAAAACATTACACACAGAGCAACATATTTTGTATACGACTTTGGCAAAACAAGCCATAATTTAAAAAAAATGTAATTTAAGATTTGCTATGAATTACCTTGAATAAGTGTACCATGTCTCACTTTCTCTCCTTAAAGCAGATTTACATATAAAACGGCATATACATTAGAACTTTTTACCGGGTTAACCTACTTTATGAGGATTTATTTGACATATATGCAAAGGAATTGACAATTGAAACCAACTGGGTTAACTAAATCCGGTTAAATCTAAACGTACTATAACATTTGATCACAATTAAAGGACGAATCAGGGTTTATTTTCTTAATCAGACTAAATTTACCATACAAATTTAAATCATCGTGCGGCAGGGTTTATTTTAAAACATGATTGAAATAATGAGATACAGCGTGGTTTTTGTTCGGAAAATACAACCCTCTCACAATTTACCACATTGCAAAAACATTTCCATTGTTGTAATTTTTCTTTTCATTTTTTAAATTGCAAACAAATACTACTGGTCCAAATTATTAATTTTGTATGTATACTAACAACGTCAGTTTTCAGACCCAAACATATTGGTCTGTTCCCGAACTGCAAGAATCTACTGCTTTTTATAACAAATTGTCCTTTATGATATCGAAAAAAATAGTAAAAACTAGTATATTCTTGCAGTACGGGAACAGACCACCAGTCTTACTCTATATATTCACTAGGGAGATGTCTCGCATGTAAACAATTTTTCGCTTTCTCATTCTCGCCTTATTCTGAATGAATAGGAAGAATAAAAAATACGAGATGCGGATTCGAATTTCCGAAAATGGTGATTGAAAAAAAGATTAATGTTGCCAAATTGTAATTTAGGTTGTAATGTGTGTTCCCATATTGTAATTTAAATTTGTAATATTTTTCAATATTTTATTTATTTGGTTAAAAAAAATTTACTTTTTATTGGCGACATACAACAGCATGTGAAACAGCTGTTTATTGTTTTGATGCAATTTGGTGCAACAACTACAACAGATTGCAAATAAAATATTTTATAGTGGCAAAACGCCAGTGCGGTTTTCAAAGACTCAACGAATAAATGGGAAGAAATCTGATTTAATTAAATTATATTAATTCAATTTATTTAATTTAGTGAACTATTATTTCACTACGTAATTGTGTGCCTTTTTATTTAATTTCGATATTTTATATCCTCAATTTCTTAATGTGGGCAATTGTTTTATGACTTGCTCCTCCTCCTTTATTTCTCTCATAATTTTTGAGTTCTTCACTGTTAAGCGTCTCATCGGGCAAATTTGGCTATGTGGTTTATACATAATTTTTAATATTTGGAGAGACAGATTTCACACAAACTGGGTTTTATTTCACCTCCAAATTTTATCAAACTTGCCTTAAATATTCCTTACTGCCTTTATAAATTCCGTGGCAATATTTGGTTGAGCCTGCATAGGATTTCCAATGGAATTTTATTATTTCTTGATTTTGAGTTATAAACATGCATGCAACCATTTATAATATTCAAAATCGTCATAGAATAATAATTGTGTAGATATTTTTCATAAAATTAGTTAATACTTATATTTTTGTAGCAGAAAATTCCATCACATTCTCCCACTCTTTGTAATCCAGAATAACTAATAAAAAAACCAGAAAAAATTCGCTGTGTGTTCTGATTTAGAATAATTTAAGGGAAGAGCGAAAAAAATCACAGGGAAGTGAATAACAAAAATGCAACTATATATGTAGTGGCTTCTTCTGTCAAATATAATAAAAGTATACGCAACAAGTTGTTGTGTGCATTTAATATTTTTTGATTTGATATTTATGATTTCTTCCCAAAATCCAGTAGGGAATACCATGTAATGTTTGTTTCACCCATAACAAAGTAATTATTTAAGAAATTTATGGCATATTTTGCTTTATTGCTTCGACGATCTGTTAACGTCACGATGTTTCCTGAAGTCCAGATGTGTGGCGGAGGTGGTAGTCAATAACACATTATATTTTTTCGGAGTGCATTATTATGTGATGTTTGCAAGGAAATCCACTGTATATCGTTAAGAAAGTCCAGACTTTTTCTTATCTGTAGTGCAATTCTGTAACAATTTTATTTATTTATTTATTTAAACTCTTACAATTTTCAATGCTACCGACAAATATCGGTAAAATGAAAACACACTTTCCATATTGAAAATAAAATTTATGATAAATTTTGCATATCTGTCGGTAGGGTTTAACGACAACTTTATTTTGGACGTTAATTTGCCGAATAATTTCGCTAGTCAACGAAATTATAAGCAAATGGAGTTTTGAAGTTATCGACAATCGTCGATAATTATGTCGTTAAGCCGTTACAGAACAGCACTACTGGACAGCTAGAGTTTTTATAACTTTACTTACTTACTTCCCAATCTCCCTCATTCACATTCCCAATCTCCCTCATTCTAAATATTTAACTACATATCTTTCTTAGCTAATTTTTTAACATTCAAACTTCATTTAGAAGCGTTGATCAAAATGTATCGAATGGGAAGAGTAAGAAATCGCATGAGGAGAATTAGTCAATTTTTTATCATTAAAAATTATCATAAATTTGAGGATTTAAGAAATTTTGCAGTTTCTTTTCCATATATAAAAACGAAATTATACAATATAGCCACAAACATTATTCTTAGCTTAATGTAATTTTCTGCATTATGATTTAGGTCATTACATTGCATTGTTTTTCCTTTTTTATTGTCTATACAGACGATTTTCCATTTCTTTTGTTATAAAATTATTTTTTTTTCATTTATATAATATGTAACGAACATATATATTATTACATAAAATTTAAATAAATATATGTATTATAAATATGTTTAGCGAATATATATATATATATATATATTATAGAATTATGAGCAAAATTTTCTTTTTTTTATTTCATAGTAAATTTAGGCCTGAAAGAATTTTCTTCATTGATTGTAAGAGAAATAAATACCAAGACATTGACTCCAAAAATATTTTGGTTCTGTGTAGTGTTATTGAACTTATGCTAAGGCACTAGATGGAGTGGAACAAATAACGGCGTATCTTTAGTTTTCAAATTGTAATTGGGACATTCCATTTCGAATCAGAATGAAAATACCTTTATACAATAGATTACCATTAACACACAAGGTTATGTTTATATAATAATCAAATATATATTTAATCAGAAAGTTAGTAAAATCACAAAATCATAAAAGTCAACTAATAAAAATTACAAAAAATGGCTACTAGCTATTGCATTTATGCTGCAATTTTGAGAGTGCTTCTTAATCTACAGCTACATGTATTTATTTCAATTCCATGAAAATTAACTATAAATATGTCATTTAACGTTTCGCTAATTTAATAGCGAAATAGATACTAACAAAGAAAACCACAACAATTGCCAGCTTCTTAATATTAGCGCGATTTACACCCTTTATGGAACGTACCACATCGCTATTATACAAAAATACATTTTTACTTTCCTCGATGAAATCGGCTTTCATTTTTTCATCGAACTTTCCATAATTATCGTTGAGGACTTTACGCAACTTGCCCTTTAAAACAGCAATTTTCTGTGGGAAATATGTAGCAGCACAACCCTCAGGACATATGGAAACTTGTACGGGCATAGGTCTGGTTGTTAGATCATCCGGGTCAGTTGGTTTCTCCGATTGTTCTGCTGCGGCAATTTCTTCTTCGGCTGTGACACCATTCGAGCCGGGCCATAATTTACGTGCTATCATACGTTTACGTTGCAACAATTGACCGCCCGACATTAAGGCCATATACATTTGATAGGCATAGGCGAATAACAGAAGTTTATCCTTTTTATTAACTTCTTCCAAATGATCGAGATATTTACGCACAGCCGGACGAATTTCGTAGGATTCTTTCCAATTGTCGCCATAGAAATATTCAAAATCTTTTTCAAATGCCTCGGTACGTCGCAGTTCATTTGGCAATAATTCTTCGGGTAAATTAGTTTCTAGGAATTTATAAATTTCATAAAAACTCAAAAGGCCATCATACCATACAGCATCATCGGACAAAGCTGGAAGGAAATTAAAAGAAAAATATTTGATATTATTGCATAAATCCTCCTTGGTGACCTGTATGCAGTATCGCTTAACATACCAAATGCAAATTTTGCATTGACTAGAACATCACTTAATCGATGAACTTCTTTTGTTGCAGCTCTCAGTTCTTTGGTGAATGTCATATCCTGTTGAGTGATATCCTCTTCGGTTGTTGTTGCTGTTGCCGATGCCATCGTTGGACTACTTACTTGAAGAGCAATTTAATGGAATCTGTTCGGTATATTGCTTGCAGTAAATATTATTATGCGTATTTTCTTATCGCGCAAAACAATGAAAAATCCAGAAGTCATTAACCCATAACATAATAGAGTAGTTTCGTTCACAAATGATGAACTTTTTCAATTATATGATTCACTGGAAAGAGTGACGGAACTAGGTTAGTTAAATAAAATATAAGAAAATTATTTGCTCTGTTTCTTAAAGGAAATTTGGTAACGACATATAAGGACATCGGTCATTCCATGGTTAATTATGATGTACGCCAATTATTTAGCGCTTATTTTTATTTGGATACTCTTAGTCCATTGTGCTTATCCTGAGTACTTGAGATGATAGCATATAATTGAAGAAAAAAGAGGAGGAATAGAGGATGAAATCAAATGTTTTGGGTTTGATCGGAATTCTCCACTGTGTGGAAGTCCAGACTGGGGCAGCATAATTAAAGATGCACCGATTACATTGAAGGTCGTTACCGTATCCTTATCTATGCCCCAGGAGTTGCCAGCCGGAGAGCTCTCAGAACTGAAGGAGGTTTTCGAAGACCACCCCAATAATTTTCGGATTATGGACGGTGGGGATACGATAGAAATGTCATGCTTTACTATGTTCGTCTCGCGTCCAGAAAGTGAAAAGTGACACAGTAGACTTTCGACGATTTTAGATTGCGCTCCCGGAAGAAGTTTCTGAAGGTAGTTGGAAAATTTCACACTTACGGTGTCAATGTTAACGTGGTATTCCCATTTTGATCTAGCGATATTTGGCCTTTTGGTAACGGAACTCAACGAAGGCTTGCCGATCATTAAGATAATTGGCAAAGCAAAGCTTGACATCACTCGGAAGGGTGGAATATGTAATGTGAGATATCAACTCGAGATCGATTGACAGTATCGAACGCTTTGGACAAGTCTAAGACTGCCACAATGGAGTGTTCAGGTGATCGTCGCTGATTGAGTCCATTCGCATGAAATCGAATAACCAAATTAAGTTATAATATTGGAGATGATTAAAGAAACTATCTGCTGACAATTTCTAAAAATTGCTTTGCTGAGATAATTATGTGCCCAGTGCGCTTATTAATTTTAGGAGTTCGTAAAACCACCTCTAACTCTAATCTTTCTTCGTTCGATGTAACAAATTGTATATTGTCTTTCGTGTATATGAAAACATTTCCGCCAATCCTATAGGCGGTTGTAATATATCAACTGAATTAGATCATAGGTACCCAATTTAAAGCAAAAAGGGTAAAACACACAAAAACTAAAATCAAGAGATGTGTAGAGTTATTCGACACTGGTCAAAACTGATCTATATTTGTTTTTGTTGTACAGTTGTTTTATTTTGTAATAAATTTTAATTTGAACTCAAACTGTATTATGTCATGTACAGACGAGCGTTGTTCGCTCTCTCATTCGTTGTTCGACCCTTAATTATGAAGGAATTACTTAGTTCCCCATACAAAATTGTCTGAGCGAACACGGACTTTTGTACGTTGTTCAATTCGAATCACTCTCTGAATAACCAATAAATTTGTCCCATCCCTAAAAATTGAGAGTATTTATCGAAAATAAATTAATTTTGACAGTTTGAAAATATTTACGAAATTTTCAAACTTTTTCAGTAAAATTGAAAATCATGAATGAAAAGTAAAAAATTGTTTAGTTTTTATATATGGATGTAAATTTTGTTTTCTACATAATGCAATATGCATTTCTTTTCCCTTGGTTCTAATTAGCGTACAAAACAAGAAACAAATGTGGGGCAACTCAAACAAAAAATTCTCCAAATTTTTATTTGTGACAGTATGTGACATTTGAATTGAGAAAATATAAAAATGTATTAAAAACAACAACATTTTCAGAAAAAATGGAAAACATGAATGAAAAGTAAATAGATATGGGTTCATACTATAATCAGGAGAAAGAGAATTATTTTTTCTATTTAGATCCCTATGTAATTCACTAAAATATGTTACATTTTTGGTGTAAAACAAGAAACAAAAAGTTTGAAATAAAAAACTCTGATGATATGGATTATGAATAGTGTTGTGTGAACGGGTTAATTAATGTACGTAATTCTCAGAGCGAACTACGTTGTTCGGATGCCCGTCAGAACATGGCATTAAAAGCACCATACAAATATAATAAATATCAACAAAAATATAATTATAGTACGTTTACATTGTAATAAATTTTAATTTGAACTCAAACTGCATTAAAAGCACCATACAAATATAATAAATATCAACAAAAAATATAATTATAGTACGTTTACATTATACGGAATTTAGTTAACCCAGAGGGTTTGAATTGTAAATTCCATTGCCTATTTGTCAAATAAATCCTCATAAAGTAGGTTAACCCTGCAAAAAGCTCTAATGTAAATGCCGTTTTAGTGTTACTTCAAGCTTCTACATTTAAAAATGTATACAAATTATCCATGTGTAAAGTCATTCATGGCATACTGTAAGTAAATCCCTAATGTTCCGACAGCTGTTACAATTCACCCTATAAAACATCGTGAAGAATTTAGCTATAAAAATAATATAATTAAGAAAGGAGATAAACGATTCTTATTATTTATTATTACTTTAAAGTTTAATAATTTTGTATGGTGCGTAGTATTTAAATTAATGCTGTACGAATTTACTTGGATTGGTGTTATCAATTCACAGTGAATTTTTAGTTTACTATTATTTACTAATAAAACAATAAACACTAATCTAAAGCGATGGATAAATTTAAGCAACAATGCCGCACTTGTTTAAAACAAAATTCTAAGCTATGGCCATTGTTCAAAGAAATTAATAATTCAAATCCTACCCAGACATATGGACAACTTTTAAAGGAATTGGTACAATTAGAGGTATTAATGCCATAGTTCAAATCATAAATTTGTTTCAATCCCTATTTGGTTTCTCCTTCCAGCTATCCAAGGAGCAAGAAATGCAACTGCCACAAGCTCTTTGTGTCCATTGTAGCAGTCAATTTAATCGCACATATAAGTTTCTTAGACAGATTAAGGAATGTAACGAAAGACTTGTAGATATGATAACAGACACCCACTTGCAATTGGACTGTTTGCAAGAAGAAGTTATAGATATTCCAATTAAAGGAAATGACAAAAATGCAAACCAAACTCAGGATATGATAACTGAAGGCACTAAATTACATGAAGACACAGAATGCGATCAAAATGAAAATGATAATAAAACAATTTTGACGAAAAACGAATTCGAGGTTTCGAGGCCAGATATTATGTAGGTATATTTTTTTATTATTGGATAGTATAAAATATATAAATTTTAATTTTATAACAGTGCTACACCCCAAGATGAGTATTCAATTATTAATTCATCAAATTCGTCTAAGACTGTGGAAGATATATCCTGCCCTGTTTGTCAGAAATCCTTCAAAAGACCTTATCTTTTTAAGCACTTGCGTAAAATGCATTCTATAAACCATCCTGCTAATTTTATGAAACAACAGAATATCTCCACAAAAATATCGTACCCATACCAGTGCAGGTATTGTGATTATGTGGCCAAAAGTAAAGCATGTATAAACTATCACAATCGTACAAAGCATACAACAGAAGAGGATAAATTGAAATGCAAATTCTGTTCATTTGGATCATTAAAAAAAATCAAATTAATGGAACATATAAAAAATGAACATAAATTCGAATTTAAAGCTTTGAAAAGGACCATGGAAAAGAAACAAGAAAGTGGGTAAGTTGGTTTGTAATTATTTGAAATAAAAGAACAAATGATTTTTATATTTCATATTTTTTGTAGAAATACCTCAAATTGCTCTGACTCTGACGATGATTCTGATAAAAGGGGAGGCCTTATTGAACCAGATAGTATTACATCAAGTGACGATGATGAAGTGTTCATAAAAGACATGATAAATATTGATCGAAAGATCTCCCGATCCAATTACATAGATGGCGAACCAATTAATTCCTTGGCAAGAAAATGCCATGAATGCGATAAAGTTTTTAAAAATTTGTCCTCATTATATGCTCACAAACGTTTTGTCCATATCAGTGAAGATATGTACAGCGTCTGTGTCCATTGTGGCAAACGTTACAAACGTAGCAAAGATTTACGAAATCATATGACACAAATACATCGAGAGGAAATGCATAAGAATTGTGGTGATGCCGTTCAGGATGATCATATAAGGACGACTGATGTTTCCAGTAAACGATTTATGTGTCCGCAATGTGATTATGCAACAACAACTTCAACACATTTAAAATTACACATAAGACGACATCATACCGGTGAAAAGCCCTATGTTTGTGAAATATGTGGTAATTCATTCATCACCTCATATGATTTGAAAAAGCATCGTTATTTACACACGGGAGAAAAACCCTACAAATGTACAGTGTGTCCGAAAACGTTTCGTGTCAGTTCCAAGTTAAAGAAACATCAACGTGTACATACCGGTGAAAGACCCTTTAAATGTACGGAATGTGGAAAAGGTTTTACACAGGAATATAATTTGTCGGTACATAAGCGCACCCATTTAAAAGAACAAAGGAACAATTCAAATAAATAATAATAATAGCAAAATAATTTTTTACTAGGAAATTCCTCTCTTTCAACGAGCATAAATCTGAAATTGTTTGATCGACACTTCACGAGAAATCTATAAGTACAGCCACCTGCCGAAATAATAATGGATTTCTTTTTAATTTTATTTCTGAAATAAAAATAATATTTTGTTACAAAAAACCTCTCGAAGTTTCATTTCAAAACAAATTCTAGTCAACAAATTGGGTCAATATGAAATGACATGCATATAGGTATATACATATATATATATATATATATTTCTTACATCCTTCTATTAAATTAAAGCGTATATGTCAAGTGTTTTTTTAAATAAATTAACTTATTCGTTGAAAATTCTACAATTTGCATACATTTTAAAATCCTTGTCATCCCTATACTGAAGTTAGCAAAGAATACATAAACAAGACAAGATTATTGTTTTTATGAAAACTATTTTTTGTTTTTATTCCATTTATGTATATATTTAAATAAGAGCGTATATGTCAAGTTCTTCAAAATAAATTTACTCTTTCGTTGAAAATTGTACAATTTTAGTACATTTTTAAATCTTTGTTTTATCATCCCCATACTAAAGTTAACAATTTATGCAAAGGATATCAATTCACAGTGAATCGATCATATGGTAGTAAACAAGGAATACACAAACAAGACAAGACTATTGCTTCTTGTAAAAACTAAAAAAACTATATTTTGTTGTTATTCCTTTAAAATTTATCCTTTTGCTTCATAGTGAATTTAAAGTTTTGGTAGTATTTAACAGCCAATCCCCATAATTGAAACCATGGATGAATTTAGGTTACAATGTCGTACTTGTTTAAAAAGGAATACCAATCTATGGCCATTGTTGAATGTTATGAATAATTCAGATCCATCCCAGACGTATAGACAGTTTCTAAACAGATTGGCACAATTAGAGGTAGGAATAACATGATATATATCATACATATGTTATAATTTTTGTTGGTTACACTTTGCAGCTACCTGAGGATCAGGAAATGAGAATGCCACAAGGACTTTGTGATGTCTGTTGCGGTGAATTTAATCGAATACATACGTTTCTGGAACAGATTAAGGATTGCAATGACAAACTTGTGGCTATAATAGCCGATAATCAATTGCAATTGGATTGTTTAAAGGAAGAAGCTATAGATATACCAATTAAAGTAGAAATTATTGAAAATGAAAACAATTCTGAGGATACAACGATAACTGACACCACTACATTCCATACAGACAAAGCAGAAGCATCCGAAAAACATCTAGATAACAATACAGATGATCCAAATAGATGTGCGACAAATGAATGCCAAGATATGAGGTATATTTGTTATCACATACATACTGTACATATTAATTATTCCTCTCTTTTGTAACAGTATTCCACAGAACGAAGATCAAATTACTCAATCTTCAAAATCGTTAAAATCTATGGAACATATACCATGTCCTGTTTGTGGCAACCAATTCAAAAGACCATCTCTTTTACAACATTTGCGTAAATTGCACGATATAAAACAACCTAGTAATTTTATGAAACAACAAAATGATATTTCTTTGTATCCATACGAATGCAAGCAATGCGATTATGTGGCCAAAAGTAAATCTAGTTTATACTATCACAATGCTGCCAAGCATACAACAGAAGCGCATAAATTGAAATGCAAATTCTGTCCATATTCATCATTGAAAAAAGTCAAATTAATGGAGCACATCAAAAATGAACATAAGAAGGAATTTAAGTTATTGAAAAAGAGTGAAAAAAAGAAACAAGAACTTGGGTAAGTTAACATGGCGATATTTAAAATCAAAGGTCAAATTATATTAATATTGAATTTTTTTTTCTTAGAAATACATCAGATTGCTCCGTTTCGGATGATGATTCTGATGATAATAGAAAAGAAGAAGAACCGATTACATCCAGTGATGATGATGATTTTATAAAAAACATGATAAAGAATAATAGAAAGATCTCTAAATCCAGTTCGACAGATGGCGAACCAAATAATTCACTGGCAAGGAAATGTGATGAATGCGATAAAGTCTTTAACAATTTGTCCTCTTTAAATGCTCACAAACGAACTGTCCACATCAGCGAGGATAAGTACAAAGTATGTGTCCATTGTGGGAAAAGTTACAAATGGAGCAAAGATTTACAAAACCATATAACAAAAATACATCCACAAACTACGAATGATGATACCGCCGCTCAAGACGATCATACAACGTCGATGAAAAACACCGTTTCCGAAAAACGATTTCCGTGTCCGCAATGTGATTTTTGGACGAAAACGTCAAGAGATTTAAAAATGCACATAAGAACACATACTGGGGAAAAACCCTATATTTGTGAAATATGTGGTAATTCATTTGTAAGGGCATATGATTTAAAAAAACATAGTTATTTACATACGGGAGAAAAACCATACAAATGTCCATTGTGTCCGAAGGCGTTTCGTGTCAGCGCAAAGTTGAGGAAACATAAACTTGTCCATACAGGAGAAAGACCCTATAAGTGCACAGAATGTGGAAAAGGATTTACACAGGCATATAATTTAACGGTGCATAAACGTACCCATTTAAAAGAACAAACAAGGTTATTTACCAATGTAGTGGCCGAAAATCTCTTAACACTGCATTGGCCATTTGGAAATAATTTAGATAATTAAAAAAAAAGATATATATACATGTATATAGTTGCTCTGTCGATGTCGATTACATCCATCCAAAGTGAATATATATGACTACCAATGAACTGAAGTCCAATAAATCGGTTACACACACTTGCAATGTATTCAAATCTCTAGTAATGATTACTAGATTCAATACTTCCACTATAACCGGTACGTAAGTCGTTAGAGCTGAATATTGTACCTGCAACTAGGCGATGCTAGCTTTGTTTGATGAATTAGCAGCAGATATGAATGCAATGCAATACCACCATCAAGCAATCATTTTTTTATTCGAAGTTTAATTTCTTGATGACCTGCGTAATAAATTTTTATTAAACTAAATGGCGTAAATTAAATTAATTTCGAAAATAAAATCAGAATATTGAAATTATTTATTTTGTTGCAATTTTTTATAGAAAAAAAATAATGGATTGCATTTATTATATATTAAGTTAGGAAATACCGAACTTAATGTATAATACCATTATGTCACGAAGTAGAGATCGATATTGGTATATAAAATACCTAAAACCGATCGGGCCTGGAGTAAATAAAATATCAATAGAAAATTATGTTAGGGCCTTGAGCATGCTGAAAATGACCATTACGGTTGAAAAACATATCGAAACTATCAATGGTTCATATATAAAATTGCCTTCATATCCGGATTGACATAAATTTACTACGGAATTGAGTCTAAGTTAAGGGTGTTAAGTTTACTTAATATCGGAGATTTAGATATATCACCCATCAGGGACGTATACAGATGATTGTATCAAAGACTATATATCCTTAGCCAATAAACTGAGGATATAACCTCATAACAGCATCAGTCTCTGTTAATATAACATAACGCTGTTATTTGTAAATATTGATATGCTATCAATTCAACTGTGAATGCCAGCGTTAAATGGCTATCTGCAATAAACAAAAAATTGTTTATTATCTGAGAATACCTGAATGTAGACAACAAGAACCAAGACCAAAATTCAAAATAATTCAAACAAATGAGCGCGATAAATATTAATAACGAATGCCGAACCATCAGCACAAAACCAAAAATGATGAAAGTCAACAAAACCTATATAGAGTTAAAAAACCGCATATCTCAGGTTGAGGTAAGTTGGGTTGGACTGGCAGATTAGTTGAGTGACTTTTTTTTCTTTTGAAATAATGTTTTTCAAGTCCTCCTTTTGTGTTTTCCTTTTAGTTTAATGCCGATGATGAACACTAAATGCCACAGCGAATATGTACAATATGCTTTATTAAAATTAAGGAAGAAGTTAATCCACTTGATGATGAAGAAATGAATGCTTCAAGTGAAGAAACTTAAGAATTGATTAAAGACGAGATTAAAATTAAAGAAGAAATTACATTCGATGAAGAAGAAATAAATGATCCAAGCCAAGAAATGTTCATAGGAGAAGCTGGAAGAGGAAGTTGTCATAAAAATAGAGGTATGGCCACTGACAATGTCTTATTGACTGTGGTTAATATTAAATGATTTGTTTTAATATCTTCCAGTTACCCAGATAGTGTGTTAAATGAAAAACTACATTCCGACGACGATGGATCTTTGAATGATAGTAAGTCAATGAAGACCGAAGATGATCCAACACATAATCCTTTAGAGTGTGGGACAAGAAAAGCTTCAACAAAAGAAATATCGCTCAACAATAGTAATAAATATACACTTATGGATCATGTCAAACGTAAACATGAACCGGATGCCAATAATCCACCGAAATAGAAAAAAAAGATAGATGTTTCATATGTGACCTGTGTGGTTTAGCCTGCCAGAGTCAAGCCCAATTAGATATTCATTATCGAAGACATAACGGTCATCGGCCATTTAAATGTGATTATTGTGATCGCCGTTTCTATCGTGAGCACGATACAGAAATGCATATGTTATGTCATATGGGCGAGAAGCCCTTCAAATGTACCGAATGTGAGAAGGCATTTCGCAGTTTTGGTAGTTTGAAAAATCACCTGCGGACTCATAAAAAAAAGAAAGACCCTGTGTGTTTTCAATCGGCGTTATGAATAAATAAAATGACTAGTTGGTATTATAATAAAAATTATTTATATATTTTTAGTGATAATAAAAATAATTTTAATGTATACTCAGCTATGAGAAAACCAAAAAACGGATACGGAAAAACCTTTTCATATTTGCTATCGACAAGGTATAAAATGATTCTATAACAAAACAAAAATGCTATTATTTGCATAGTATGAAAAGCATCGATATGAAACGTTTGCAATTCGTACCGTAGTTACAACAAAAATACATGTAGCCGCCCGACCCTCGGGTCGTCGTTTCCACGACAGAAGGTCTACGATCCGAAACGACCCGAGTCTTACTCGGCCAACGTCTGTCACCTCGGCCCAAAACAACAACAACAACCCTCGGGTCGTTTCGTATCGTTAATGGACTCAAAATTATCTGAAATAGATTTGGTTCAACATAGATATTTTGACTAGCCATTAGACTGAGGATATAAGCATCTGTCTGTTAAAATAACAGAAGACTGTAAATTGTAAATACTGATACGCTATCAATTTAACTGTGAATACCGGCGCTAGATGAAAAATAAATGTAATCTGAGAGGAACGATATATAGCTTCAAAATGAGCATAACAAATAGAAATAACAAATGTCGAACATGCCTGAAATCCGGCAGCAAGCTACTATCCATCAGCATAAAGCCGAAAATGATTAAAGGCGATAAAACCTATATGGAATTATTAAATCACATAGCTCAGGTTGAGGTAAATTGGTTGGGTTGCCCAGTTGAGTGATTTCTTTCTCTTAGATGGATGCTTTTTTCAAGTCCTCGACGATGTGTGTTTGTTCATTTGTTTTTACTAAAGCTACCATCTTGTGTTTCCTTTCCTTTTATAGTTTAACACCGACGATGAACACAAAATGCCACAAAGCATATGTTCAGTATGCAGCAAAAAGATACGCGATTCTTATACATTCATCGAACAAGTTCGAAAAAGCAATACAACATTCTTAAAGAGCGTAACAAATATTGTGGACGAGAATTCTTTGGATAAGCTGGAAGAGGAGGAGAGTATTGCAACTGACAATGTCTTACTGGACGAATGTGATATTAAAATTAAGGAAGAAGTTAATCCATTTGATGATGAAGAAATGAATGCTTCAAGCGAAGAGCATTTGATAGAATTAATGGAACCGGCGATTCTAATGGAAAATGTTAATACCGCTACTATGGGCACTTTGCTACCATCATCCACCACCTCCTCTAATGCTCCTGATGATGATGTGAATTTTAAAGTAGAGGTAAATGAACACAAGGAGGAACAGGCAGAATTGTAAGTTAAATGTTTGTGCTTGTGTGTACATGAAATTAAATCCATATTTGATCGATTTTTTGTATCTCCTCTCAGATTCCCAGAGTGTGTGTTAAATGAAAAACTACTTTCTGACGACAATGATGATTCTTTGAGTGATAATGATTCAACTAAGACCGAAGAAGATGATCCAACATATAATCCTTTAGTGTGTGAACCAAGAAAACGCCCAACAAAAGAAATATCGGATGAGGATAAAAACTTACCCATAGCATGTGATGATTGTGATAAAGTTTTCCCAAATTTCAATCTCTTGAAACGCCACAAAAGAAACACCCACGTACCAGATGAACTGAAAGTCCAATGTCCACATTGTCCTGCCAAGTTCGGTAGACTTCCCAATATGTACACTCACATCAGAACATTGCATAAAATCGAACCGATCATCGAACAAAAATCGAATCCTAAAAAAGAACACAACAGTATCAAATGTGAACATTGTCAGAAAAGTTATTGTAATAAATATAGACTCATGGAACATATCAAACGTAAACATGGACCGGATGAAAGTAATCAACCGAAAAAGGAAAAAATCAAACAGCTGGTAAAACGTTTCCTATGTGCCTTGTGTGGTTTCACTTGTCACAGTCAACCGAATTTGAATATCCATTATAGAAGGCATACCGGTGAACGGCCATTTAAATGTGAATATTGTGATCGTCGTTTCTTTCGTCTGCATGATGCGCAAATGCACGCTTTAAGTCATACAGGAGAGAGGCCCTACAAATGTACGGAATGTGAAAAGGGTTTCCGAAGTTCGGGAAAATTGACAATTCACATGCGAACTCATACAAATGAGAGACCCTATGCGTGTACCGAATGTGAAAAGACATTTAAACAATCAAAAGATTTGACTATCCATAGACGTATTCATACCGGTGAAAGACCTTATAAGTGTGATATATGCGAGAGTACATTTACCCAAAGCAATTCATTGAGATTGCATCAGAAAAAGACTAAACATTCGAATGTAACGCCAAAATCAATAAATGACAGTTTGAATAGTAATATTGATTTGAATGACATCAGATATGGATATTTGAATGACTAATTTGTGTTTAAATAAAATAATTTATAAAAAAAATAATCTTTGGAATTTTTATAATAATTGGCTATAGTTATCGAATCATAAGTTTGGAAAACAAAAGAAAATTTTATTATTTGTTTACTCTACACTCACTCTACACTTAAATGAGTTTTCAATCATTTTTGGAAAAGGCGGTGAAAATACCCCATTAGCGAGTCGATTGAGGGTTAACATTCAAGACGAAAATACTACTTTCGTAGTTATCCGTAACATTGCCAAAGACACTATGCATGATCATGATCCGAATATTTAGGGTTATCCTCTTTTTAGGTTACCTTTCAAAACACCGATGAAAATAACTTCTATTTTTAGCCCTTCTTTTGAATTTCCTCGGTTATTAATTTTTGCGTTGGGCAATATTTACATAAAAAAGAGTCCACATTTTTATAAAATTGAAATTTAAAATTGGTCTGTTCCCGTACTGCAAGAATCTACGAATTTTTACTAGTTTTTTCGATATCATAAAAGAAAACGCGTTATCGTAGAAAAAAATCGTAGATTCTTGTTGTACGGGAACAGACCAAATATCTGAATTGATCCCAAAAATTGTAGATGATAACATTTTTGCAAAAATTTTGAAAATAGTTGATTCGATTTAGGCATTAATTTTTTTCGAACATAAATACGGAAATGATATGACATGTAAAATTGCCCTTACAGTATCAAGATATTATATACTTCGCTTATATTATATATTCTTATACTTATATACCTCGCCCGCATGGTATAATAAGCATAATTATGCCATGGCAAAAGGTTACAATTTTGAAAAAAAAAAATATATATATATATTCACCAATTTTAAATAAGAGAATGATATAGGAAGTAAGTAGCTCGGACAGATATCATATATATATATATATATATATTATGACATGGTCTGAGAGCATAGATCCAACTAAAACTTTCCAAAAATTTAATACTTCGATCCTTATATCGTCATCATTAGCCGTTAAACCGAGGAGGATATAATCGCATAACAGCATCTGTCTCTGTTAATACAACAGAATGCTGTCATTTGTAAATATTGATATGCTATCACTTCAACTGTGAATGCCGGCGCTAGATGACAATCTGCAATAAATAAAAAATTGTGTATTATCTGAGAGTATAGCTGGATGAAGACAACAGAAACAAAATAGAAAATATTAATATAGCTTAACAAAAATGAGCATAATAAATAGAAATAACAAATGTCGAACATGCCTGAAATCCGGCAGCAAGCTATTATCCATCAGCACAAAGCCGAAAATGATGAAAGTCGATAAAACCTATATGGAATTAATAAATCACATAGCTCAGGTTGAGGTAAGTTGGTTGGTTGGGTTGTTTGTTTAGTTGATTGGCTGGCTGGTTGGCTAGTTGAGTGACTTCTTTTAGAAGGATGCTTTTCAAGTCCTCGAATATGTTGTGTGTTCGTTTGTTCAATTTTAACTAAAGTTTTTCTCTTGCCTTTTCTAGTTTGACACCGATGATGAACACAAAATGCCACAGGGAATATGCTCAATATGCAGCAAAAAGATACGGGACTCGTACACGTTCATCAAACAGGTACGAAAATGCAATACAATTTTCTTAAAGAGCACAATAAGTATTGCGGACGAGAATCCTTTGGATAAGCTGGAAGAGAGTTTCGCAGCAGAAAATATCTTGCTGGATGAATACGATGGCAAAATTAAGGAAGAAGTTAATCCATTTGATGATGAGGAAATGAATGCTCCACCCAAAAAAGAAGAGGTTGATTCAGATTCAAGTAGTTCATTTTCCAATAATAATTTTGAGCCACCAGATGATGTGCATCACAACGACAATGATGATGATGACGATATTGATAGCGATGATAGCCAGGAAAAGTTAATTAAGTTAAAGGAGCGGGTGGTGTTAAAGGGAAGTGCCAATGCCGCTTCCCCGGACACTTTGGTGGCATCCACCACAACTAATGTTGCTGCTGCTGATGATGATGTGGCCATAAAAACAGAGGTTAACGAACAAAACGAGGAACAGGCAGGATTGTAAGTTAAATGTTATTGCTTTTGGGCTTCTTCAAATGTTATTTATCGGCTTTATTTTCTTCCAGATTCCCAGAGTGTGTTTTAAATGAAAAAATATTTTCGGATGATGATTCTTTGAGCGACTTGGATTCAATAAAGGCCGAAGATGATCCAACATATGATCCATTGGAGAGTAAAACAAGAAAACGCGCACCAAAAGAAATCCTGGATGAGGATAAAAACTTACCCGTACCATGTGAAGATTGTGATCGTGTTTTCCAAAATGCCAATCTTCTGAAACGTCACAAAAAAGACACCCATTTACCAGATGAACTGAAAGTCCAATGTCCACATTGCCCCGCCAAGTTCAGCCGACGCCACAATATGTACACCCATATGCGAACATTGCATAAAATCGAACCGGTCATCGAACAAAAAGCCAATCCTAAAAAAGAACGAAACAGTGTTAAATGTGAACACTGCCAGAAAAGCTATTGTAACAAATATAAGCTAATGGATCACATCAAACGCAAACATGGACCGGATAGCAATCAACCGAAAAAGGAAAAAATCAAACAGCCGGCAAAACGTTTCCTATGTGCCCTGTGTGGTTTCACCTGCAACAGTCAACCGAATTTGGACGTGCATTATCGCAGGCACACAGGTGAACGGCCGTTCAAATGTGATCACTGTGATCGCCGATTCTATCGTATGTACGATGTACAAATGCATAATTTAAGTCACACCGGTGAACGTCCCTTCAAGTGCACGGTGTGTGAAAAGGCCTTCCGCAGATCGGGTAAATTGAAAATTCACATGCGAACGCATACCAACGAACGGCCCTATAAGTGTAAGGAATGTGATAAGGCATTTAAACAATCAAAAGATTTGACTGTCCACCGACGTATTCATACCGGTGAAAGACCTTATAAATGCAATGTATGCGAGAGTACATTTATCCAGAGTAATTCGCTGCGGTTGCATCAAACAAAGACTAAACATTCGAATGATCCGATAAATCCAATAAATAATAATTCAGCACCAGGTGGTGGAACAAATACTCTAATGAATAATACCATGAATAATAATAGTGCCGCATCCACAACAAATAGTCTGATGAATAATGCGGGAAATACGGGAAATATTACACATAATATTAGTAATCTTAGTCCAGGTGGAGTTGCTCCAGCACCAATTACCAGCAGCACGGCAGCCATTATTAATCCTAATATTCCACCACCTCCAACAAATAACATCACTACTAACACAACCAACAACAATAATAGTAATCCTGCTGGGGATACAAAATATCCTGATATGATTATAAATAAAATGTTGTAAAAACCAATTATGTAGCACACAGACACACACACATCCACATTAACATCGACATTACATATTTTATTAAATAAGATTATATTAGTTTTTTTAATTTTATTTTATAGCTTTTATAAGAAAATCTTTTATCAATAGCAATATTAAATTTTAATTAGCATTTTAAGTTGATATAATTTTACATGCATTGCACACATTTATCATTTTTATTTTTTGACGGCGATTTATTTACTTTGAAAGTAAAATCTAACACAAAAACAAATCACACACAAAACACAAAATTGTATTATTAGTTCTTTGAAATATTGCAAACAAAGAACGGAATCTATCCTTACACGTACACTCCAATATTTTTTTTTTGTATTGCATATAATATAAAGTTATTTTTTTTAAATACCACTTTTTATATATGTTTTGTATATATGTAAAAAGTGGATATATATTTAGATATATATAAAAAACGAAAATAAAATATAAATTAAAAAAATATTATCAAATTGGTCATTTGATTTTTATTTAAGGACCAGAGGTCCTTTTAAAAACTAATTGATCTGTATAGAGGCCATTCTAGTCTGTATAGAGACCACAGGGATTTATAAAAGACCAATCTGGTCTGTATAGAGACCACAGGTCGTTATAAAAAAACCAATCTGGTCTGTATAGAGACCACAGGTCTTTATAAAGACCAATTGGTTTGTATAGAGACCATAGGTCTTTATAAAGACCAATTGGTCTGTATAGAGACCATAGGTCTTTATAACGACCAATTGGTCTGTATAGAGACCACAGGTCTTTATTAAGACCAATTGGTCTGTATAGAGACGATAGGTCTTTATAACGACCAATTGGTCTGTATAGAGACCATAGGTCTTTATAACGACCAATTGATCTGTATAGAGACCATAGGTCTTTATAGAGACAATAGGTCTTTATAACGACCAATTGGTCTGTATAGAGACCATAGGTCTTTATAAAGACCAATTGGTCTGTATAGAGACCATAGGTCTTTATAACGACCAATTGGTCTGTATAGAGACCACAGGTCTTTATTAAGACCAATTGGTCTGTATATTAGATCTTTATTAAGACCAATTGGTCTGTATAGAGACGATAGACCAATTGGTATATATAGAGACCATAGGTCTTTATAACGACCAATTGGTCTGTATAGAGACCATAGGTCTTTATAACGACCAATTGGTCTGTATAGAGACCATAGGTCTTTATAACGACCAATTGGTCTGTATAGAGACCATAGGTCTTTATAACGACCAATTGGTCTGTATAGAGACCATAGGTCTTTATGAAGACCAATTGGTCTGTGTAGAGACCACAGGTCTTTATTAAGACCAATTGGTCTGTATAGAGACAACAGGTCTTTATTAAAACCAATTGGTCTGTATAAAGACCATACGTCTTTATAAGGACCAATTGGTCTGTATAGAGATCATATGTCTTTATAAAGATCAATTGGCCTGTATAAAGACCATAGGTCTACATAAAGACCAATTGGTCTGTATAGGGACTATAGGTCTTTATAAAGACCAATGGGTCTGTATAGAGACCAGAGGTTTTTATAAAGACCAATTGGCCTATATAGAGACCACAGGTCTTTATAAAGACCTTGCTATATACTTT